CAGTAGCACCTTCCACCGCCCATGCCACGCCAAGCATAAGGTCACGTGATTGCAGTTCTCGGCCTGCCTCTGCGACAGCCAATCACGGGTGCCGAAAAATGCGCCAACGCTTGCCTGTCATGCCTTCTACCATGTGTACGCGTGTAGGCCGACTCTATTCAGTCTGGCCAATTACCTTCAAGGTCGACGCACACAAAGGCCGCTTTGTAGGCGCTGTGATGACTGCCACGCTCACACATTTCGAACTCAGGCCCTTTCGCGTGCAGACGCACGCTTGTCCGACAATCAACCTCCTCGTACCTATTCTCTCCTACTTCTGTACAGAATACACTATTCCTTCCACCTGGCGTCCCACTTTGCTCTTCCCACACGAAACCAGACGTGAAGATCGCAACAGCAAGGGTTTTCTCCACTAACTTAATCCTGCGATAGTACTTTAGGTTGGGTGACAGCCTAGAGGACTACGAGTCAAGCACAGGGGTTTCTTCCTCATATGGGCCTTGAGGCATTCTCACAAACTCGGTGATGGTCCGCTGCGTTCTGTGGAAACCCAGTTTTGCGTGTGTGCCTAGCTTTGTCGTCCACTAGACCCGAATCTGTCTCCGCAACTCCGGCTTTATAAAGGGCCTGGTTGGTGAGAGTGCCATAAGTTCCGTGCAAGTCACCCTTCTGCGCCCGCCCAGCCCTGGGGCATCTGGTGGATATCGTCATTCGCAACGGACGTGGAGGTGGCCTTCACAGACAAAATAGGGGCGTTCTGTTTCTTCACTGAGCTGCCGTTTCTTTTCTCGGAGCCTACCTGCAAATCTGCAAACAATGTGCAGTAATATGGTTTGAGCAACATCACCCCCCTTATATGCTTCCTACCTGAATCAAAAATTCCTGCATGGTAGCGCCCTTGGCGACAGAGCTGGAGCCGGCAAAGTTGCTTGACATCGACAGGCCTGCGGCAATAGACGAGTCTAGACGTGTCGGATCACCAACTCCCGTTGCCAGAACGGAGGTCGGTACTTGGCCTTCGGGCCCTTCAAAGAGGAAAGGTTCTGGAGTATCAAAGCTGAGGGGACCACCGCCGCCAACCTTGCGGGTAGTCGAACCTGGCACTGGTCGCTTCTGTTCGTTGCTCGAGGTCGACATGACGTTCGTTGTGGGAGGCAGCGAGTAGGATCCACTGTCCATCTAGATGGATTCAAAATGAACAGGGGTTAGGCGTGAAGATGGGCTACGGGATTCGTGTAATCAAACCGTGTATCTATTTTTTTCATCGACACACAGTCTCTCCTTTTTTTCCTTCGGTTACGATGGCGTGGGATAGTCAGGATCTGTAGTACAAGGATTGCGGCACCGAGCAAAGCGTTAATAGGGACCAAAATGTCGGTCAACACCTGTTATGTCTGACTACAGCTATATCGGCATGCCCCGACGACAGATGTGCATAATCGACCGTTTCCAGCTCCTCCGGTTTTTTAACACAAGGGCCCCTGTGGGGGGGCGAACACTACACCCACACATTCACGTTAAGAGTCCTTCGTTTTCAGCCCAAGAACCATGCTATAAAAGAAAGTGTGCGTTGCAAACAGAATAGCTTGGAAAATCGAGACTTTGGAATAACGACGGCTGGTTGGTGGCAAAAGGGTACGGATGCGGAAATTATTTGGGAGGGAGAGAGAATTGAGGACTTACAGCAGATTCCCTATCTCATGAAATGTCACCCTGAATTCTGAAATGCGTTTTCGATTCTAACATTAATTACGTATGGTTTTAAAAATGACGGTCGTACAGCCTCATCTCAATATATTTAGGTCACGCCAGGATGCCGGTTTTTTTAATGAGTTCCTTTCTGACCGCTAAGTAAAAGTATATTCTATAAAAATTA